AATGTATACCTAAAATGTACCAATAAAAGAATTTAAGCAAAAAAAAAAAAAAAACACCCTAAAGGATGGTGAGAACAGAGTTCTGAGACAGATCCAAGTATATATGAGAACCTATTATATTATTAAGGGTTTTGCATAAATTAATTAAGAAATTAAAAAACCATTGGTAGGGGCTCCATATATAGAGAAAAAACTTAAAATGGATTCCCAACTGATACTATAAGAAATAGATTCTAAATGGATTAAAACTATAAAGTTCTGAGAAGGGAATATTAAAAAAAACTTTCTGACTTATGGAAGAAAACAAGTTCAAAGTACAAAATTTACATGAAAATTATATAAAACAAAAAAATTATAAAAACGCTATTTGCTAAAGTATCAAATTTGTGACTATTTCTTAAGGTTATTCACTTAAATACATAGGGTTCATGACTCTGGGGAAAATATAATAGATGGCTGTAATTTTACATTAAAGTGTTAGGTGAATAGTATGAATTCTTTTACTCCATAAATAGTACCACTTTATTTCTTCATATACTTTTATTAGAGTCCATATAAACTCCCAAAATACAGAAGAGTAAAGCTTATTAATCACTGAGGGATTTATCAATTACATTCTTTCTTTCTTCCATATTTGCAATATTTTCAAACTAAGAGAACTTCCATTATTTACCTTAAAATAAGTGTTATGAATCCTAAAGCAAATGGACCCAGAGGACCAGAAGTAAGTAATTTCAAAAGTTCTATTATAGTTGTTGTAAGTACAACTGAGCAGAATTAAAATGATACATAACTCAAATTTAACTGAAATCTTAGGTAACCTTAAAAGCTTAGATTACATTACAATTACTTTATTTTGCTACTGTCAGCTTTCCTAAGAGCTAGAATGGGTTCCTCAGACTTAGTCTAGAAAAAATAAAAACATGAAACCCTGTGTTTAGTTTTAAATAAGTTATCTGGAATTTAGGCATGAATGTAACAGCTGGGGACCATCCAAGACATTGTGGGCTGCATACTCAAATCCCCAGAGAACAGGTAATGGAAATGTATTAGGTACAACATTTATGACCCCCAGAGGAAGGCCATTTGCTTAATTTAAACATTCATTCATTTTCCAACTTCCTTTCTGTATCATGCTACTCTGAATTAAACCTTCCCTAACAAGTTGGTATTATACAATCTACTTACTCATTTAACAATTAAAATATCTTTTCTCCAAGCTTTCTCAAATGTCCTCCCGCAAAAGCTACCTCCTGTATACTTTATAAAACTATGAAATCGCCACTAAAGGGTGTGATATAGTCACCTGCAGGTACTGTAAATGCATTAGATGAATGAAATATACCTTGAACAACAACCTGGCTGCCTGGGACAAAGAATTGTTGCTTGCCATCAGCTGCCTGCGCTGCGTAGTGCACAAGTGCCGCACTTGGAGGAGGGGCTCCTGAGTTTGTCATTGTTAACGCCTGCAGCCCCTGAACACCTTCAGATCCCGGGTTAGAAAGCTGGACTGCTCCACCTTGGGCTATAGCAACTTAACAGAAAGAAAAAGAAATATTAGACAATTTCCAGTTTTGTTTTTTAATAATCCCATAGTGGGAGAATATACAACAGGCTACATACTACCATTGCTTCTCGTTCTTAAGTTACTTGTATTTTTTAATGCTAAATTGATAAGGAACATCGAGTTCTTCACAGAACAAGACTTTTAAAAAGTTTATAAATACCCGAGTATATGATACATTCAGAAATTTTGAAATTCCTGGAATCCGCAGCATTTTTCTCTTCCCTGACATCTACCCAACTAAATCAAGAGGAAGAACAGAGAAGCAGGTAGAGTCTAGATTCTTGGCTTTCTCCATTCTCTTACATGTTTTTCATTATGAACAACATTCTTAAGAAACGGTTAGCAAAATTTCCACTGAGCAATGCAATTACGAGTTTGTACCTTCATTTGGTCAACTACTTTTCCAATTTATCATCAAAAGAAAGCGGCTTTCAACATACAATATACAGTACATCGTATATTTTGGTTTTAAAGCTCACTTACAAAACTGTAATCTTTATCTGTGTCAAGATAAGACTAAAATATAAAATGGTAAGTTGGAGAGAACAAGGCAACCATTTTGATAGAATTTGCGCTCAACTATGGGTTGGCAACAAATAGGAAGTAGATTTCCTATAAACACTGAGATCAGTCAGCCATGTTTAAAGTCAACATACTGTCTTAAACTTTCAAAAGAATGATCAAAATTTTGTCTTAAAATTTCACTAATAGACAACTACTCTTTAAAGTATCCAAAGGGGGGCTGGGGATTTAGCTCAGTGGTTTTGCCGCCTGCTGCGCAAGCGCAAGGACCCAAATTCTATCCCCGGTACCAAAAAAAAAAAATGTAAGTAAAGTATCCAAAGGGTCTGTATACTTTAGCATTAAGATTACAACAGCACGTTTTAGTTTGAACAGTGGAAATTAATCAGAACAAAGGTTATCTTTTTAAAATCAAATATAAACTAGCTAACTAGACTTCACAATGAAGATTTTTTAAACATAGCATGAGAATAACAGGGCCGGGGATTTAGCTCAGTGGCACTGCACCTGCCTGGCAAGCGCAAGGTCCTGAGTTTGATCCCCGGTAGCCGCCCCTCCCCCAAAAAGTAACAATGCATATAAATCAGTATAAATACAATATTACAATAGTGATTAAAATATCCTCTGAATTATGCCCAAGTAACTTCCAAATGATTTTAATGACATCAAAGCAAAAGGCCACCCAGGTGACAACCTGATAGCATGAACCTATCGAAACTATGAAAAGAGTAAAAATAATAGATTTTCAGCTCTTTGACCTAAGGTTCTAGTGCCTAACAGAAATAAGGGTTAAGATTTTTAATTTTTTAGGGTTAACATTTTATTTAATTAATAATTAATTAGTTTAAAAAATCTTTTGAGACAGTGTCTCACTATGTAGTTCAGGCTGGCCTTGAACTCATGGCGATCCTCCTGCCTCAGCCTTCTGGGAGCTGGGTTTACAGATGTGTGCCACCACGCCCAGGAGGGTTAACATTTTTAAAAAGATTTCAGCACAGACACGAGCTGTGCTTTAGTTCACTTCCAGGCCGGGCTAGGAGGACAGGTGCCAGGAACTGAACAGTCACAGGTCCACAGTGCCTGGCTTATGAGGCTGACGTGAGCCTGAGGCCATCACCCTTTGGCCTCACCGCATGTGTTCTCTGTATGCTTTGAAAGCTGCTATCTTCAGTGCTCCAAAGATTTCAAGGGTCAAAGGACCCAGCCCCCACAAGGAAAGGGTTTGGGGAGAGATCTGACTCCTGAGAGAAGTGTGAAAAAGACGAGAGATAATTGCTTTCTTGGATCTTTGCGGCAGAGACAATGACTTCAGTTTGTTGTCATACATTTTCATGTGTTTGCTCGGCTGATAATTAGAGTGACGTAATACAAACAATGCTTTAGGAACAAGGCCCAGGGATTACAACCACATCTGTTAGGAGCACAAAAAGCCCAGCAAAGAGCAGGTGCTCAATAAATAAAATAAATGAATGGTCTGCATTTCCTCATATCATAAATGTGTGGCCCTAAAAGACACAGATTTGGTATGGCCTCAAATTCCAATTACAAAACTTAACTTTTCATCACTAATACAATTATTAAGCTTTTGGAGTTGTAATTAGAACCATGGACATTTTCTTTTTTCTCTTAATTTTTCTTAGTTTTTTTTTTTCCAATAATGTATCCATCCCTAAAGTTCCAACCAAAACTGCTTTGCTTTCATACTATGAACACCTGATATATCAAGGATCTGTTTCTCTTTTAATTTCATTTCTAGTGACGTTAACATATAATTAGATATGAAGAACAAAGGCTAACACATGCGTAGGCACAGCAGGGCGAGCATCTCTACTGCTGAGTCTCAGGCTTTAGCCTAGCTCGCATTTCCTAGACTAAAGGGCCCCTGATTTTGGCACATCAAACAGGGGACCTTTCCGCTCAGGTGTTAGGGTTTAACAATGGACAATTACCAACCCTTGGGCGACCTCATAACAGGCTTTGTGTGTACCCATCCATATTCACAGATTTGAGTAGGACCGTGTAATCGCAGCACTCTGGGATGCTAAGGCGGGAGGATCACACGCTCAAGTCTGACCTCGGCACCTCAGCAACACTGTGTCAAAATTAAAAATGAAAAGGGCTGGGGAGCCTGAGGCAGGAGGATCGCTGTGAGTTTGAGGCCAGCCTGGGCTACACAGTGAGTTCAAGGCCAGCCTGAACTACACAGTGAGACCTTGTCTCAAAAAGAAGAAAAGGGCTGTGGATGTAGCTCAGTGCTAAGGCTCTGGGTTCAATACCCAGTACTGGAAAAACAAAACAAAATAAAAAGATTTCAGTAGGAAATGTCTAAGATTCAAAACATTCAAGAATCACATAATTCGTTTTCAGTCAACATAAATCAAGATAAACAGTAGGAAAAAATAAGGTAAAATTAACTGAATGAATTCAGACATATTTTCCATTTTAGCATTTAAAAATAAAACTTATCGTGGAAAATCTCCAGCAGACGTAAGAGCGGTGAATTTGTCTCCATGCATTTCCTGTGCCAGTTCACTGTTCCACACCTTTTTGGGGGGTGGGGGTGTCTAGAGTATTTCCAAACAAATCACATATATTATACTCGGCTGACCATTTTTAAGTAAAATGGACCATATCAAAATCATTAGAGACCAATGAAAATAAATATCTTTGTATTTTTCACTCATTTTACTCTGAAGACATAGGCTTTATTTATTTTTGGTTTTTTGAGACAAGGTCTCACAACATAGTCCAGGCTGACCTCAAACTTCTGGTGATCCTCCTGCCTCAGCCTCCTAAGTGCTGGGATTGCAGGCATGAGCCATCATACCAGGTGACTTAGGCTTTATTGATGCTTTTCCGGTGACACATGGGACAAAAGCCTAAAGGTTTACACTTCCTACCACATACATTTTTGTTGATAACAATGACAAGTCTACACTGGTCTATGAATATTGATTGGGATTCCAGTAAAGGTGTTTTTTTGTTTTTTGTCTTTTGGTTTTTAGTTTCTTGAGACAGGGTCTCACTGTGTAGTTCAGGCTGGCCTTGAACTCACTGTATAGCACAGGCTGGCCTCATACAGTGATCCTCCTGCCTCAGGCTCCTGAGTGCTGGGGTTACAGGTGTGCACCATCACACCTGCCCCAAAAATAAGTTTCAGGAAATAATTTAAATTAAAACTGAAGAGGTGGATTATATAATCAATTAAATTCTGTATCAATTTCTAGTATTCGCCGAGTCAAGCCTGCTAGTATGGTATCAGCTCACAGTAGTGGCAGGAAGGGCTTGGGCCCCTTCTGTCCCAGCTGCTCTGAGAACTGCCGAAATAAACTTTTTTGTTTTCCACTAAAGCCTAAGGTAGGCCCTTCACCATAATTAGGTAGGTCACTCAGTACCTACTGGCTGAATATTGCACACAACGTCATTGAATTTAAGAGTTTGTTGGGCTGGGGATTTAGCTCAGTGGTTCCGCTGCCTGCCTCAAAAGCAGAAGGTCCTGAGTTTGATCCCTGGTACCAAAAAAAAAAAAGAAAAAGAAAGAGTTTTTCTAGATGGAAAAGCATAATTTATTACATAGATTTCTAATAAATTTGCTTTAGCTGGTTAAACCTCTTTTACACACCTCATATAGTCATAATATTTAGTTTCAAATCAATCTTAAAGCAAGAATGGTCCCTAAGAATTCTGAATTCTTTAAACAGTCCTTAAAGTTCACATTTCTCTTTCCATAAAGTGACTTCTGGTTTGATTCCCTTTCCTTTCGTGTACAAGAACAATGCTGACACATGTTAGCTCTTTTTGTTTTTAATGCCAGTGAATTCATTAAACCAAATTAAAATAATAAAATAATAACCTTTGAGAAAAGAAACAAAAGCAGTTGGCAGGAAACTTCACCCATGGATAAATAGTGAAAAAAGATTAAATCTTAAAAAAACTTTAAAAGGTCTCAAAAACACATAGGAAAGGCCGGGGATTTAGCTCAGTGGTTTCGCTGCCTGCTGTGCAAGCACAAGGACCCGAGTTTGATCCCCGGTACCCCCCCGCCCCCCAAAAAAACCACATAGGAAAATATAAAAAATTCTAGTAAAGTCCTCTCTTCTAAAAACCGAAGGATGCTAACCATTGTTTCTATTTCTAGGCAGTTACACATAACATTAAAGCATTATTAATATCTATTGTTTTTCCTAATAAGACTAATAAAAATGGATCGTGAGTACGTGTATGTATTTATTCTCTAATTAAAGTACATAAATGACTTCTAAAAAGGGTAAATGCTAGTATTCACTTCTCAAACACAAGAATTATCTCCATAAACAGTGTCACTCGTGTCCTAAAAACGCAGTAATAAAGGCAGTGTTGTTTCATGCGAGCCAAAACTGGCGATGCTGCTTGCAGAGCCCATGGAAAGAGCCACCATCCTGGTGGGCTGGGCGCAGCAGCAAGGCCTATGATCCCAGCACCCGGGAAGCCGAGTCAGGAAGATCCTAAATTCAGGCCCAGCCCAGCCTGGGCAGCTTAGTGATTTAATGAGACTGTCTCACAAAAGAAAAGGGCTGAGGGCCGGGGATTTAGCTCAGTGGTTTTGCCGCCTGCTGCGCAAGCACAAGGACCAGAGTTCGATCCCCGGTACAAAAAAAAAAAAAAAAAGAAAAGAAAAGGGCTGAGGGTGTAGCTGTGAATGGGTCCTGGGGAAATGGCAGGATTCTACTGCATGGAGGCCGTGACTCGTTATGTGGCAATGAGCTAAGTCCCTACGTCCCCAAAGTGCAGATCTCTAGTTCTCCTGCAGAACACTACCGCTCCTCCCCTCGCCCTTCAGTGCACACACAGCCTGCACCAGGAGCATGAGGAAGGAAGGCCCAGCGGTCAGGCGGAAGGAGAAGCTGACAGACACAAGCGGTGAGGCTTGGACACCAGCTACATCTCTGGCCCATCTCTCCCACATCTCCCCGTTGCCTACATCTGTCTCCACACATCTGTAACCCCAAAATGGCAAATTAAAGTGTTCCCACTTCAGAGACTAAAACCTGAGTTGCAAAGATAAACCCTCTCTGTGATGCACGGGTTAGCACACAGAAACAGGGTTTCTGCCCGTCTGCAGCTGCACTGTCCACTCGACCCCGTGTTTTCACTGCCTCATACTCTCAGCATTGCATACCTTTGGCAAATTAACCACGGATCCACTTCCTCATACAGGAGGATTCCTATGCAGCACTAGGACATGCCAACGAGTGTCAAGATGACGGCCTCTAGGGGCACACCCACAACTCTGAGAGGTGTCAGCCTTGCTCAGCAGCAATTCCCACATTTTCCCTGTCATGACACAACGAGGAGAGGTAACATGGGGACGCCCCTCGGGGAAACTGATGGGGCTGCTCAGGGCCAAGGCTGCCCAGCCCCTCCGGGGACTGAGGGCAGAGAGCTCTGCTCACCCGGGACACCAGGCACACTGGCTAGCGAAGCAGTTCACACCCCGAACCGTGCCACATATGCCAGGGGCCAGACAATGCAGCACAGTGTCAGAGGAGAGGCTCCCACAGCGGATGCCTCGAGTCTAATTCTGCAGGTGGTGGGGGTTTTGTCACCCTAACACCAACTTTGGATGGGGCTGGTCAGCATCCTATAGAGGCTGTGGGTTAATTACACCCCAGTTCTCATGAGCAGCATCATAGAAGCTTCCCCAAAATGACCAAAGGACAATTAGTCTGGTAGCCCTAATGCTGCAAATGCATTACCACTACAAGAAAATTCTAAACCCCCCTAAAGGGACGACTACATAAGATCTTCCTGTATATGAAAGAAGATTATAACTTGTTTTAACAGCCAGGTCTTAATGACTTGAGACTTTTCTAGGTATTGCTACTTTTTAAAAGTAAAACGGACTATATCTAAAATCTTCACACCTTATTTGAACACAGCATTTAACATTACAAACACTTCAGTACCGAAGTAGCTTTCCCCTCGTCCTCTTCTCTCCCCTTTTACACCAGTTTCTAGCTCTCATTTGTTAGCATTTTTATGTATCAAGCATTCTTGACTTTGGGAAAAAACCCCTAGCACTTTAATTAAAGCAAAAAGCACAGAAGTAACAGTCCATTAAAATGCACAAGACTAAACATGAATGTATCTGTTTATTTAGAGTTCAGTGCATAAAATTTCAAATAAAATCTATTCAGTTGCTAAAGTTTAAAAAATTAAATCATTTTTTTCATTGTTTTAGGAAAAAGTGCAGCACATAGTAACACAGTAGAGGGTAGTAAAAACAGAATTTGATTTAAAACATAACTTAGAAAACATACGCACCTATTTTAGATGACTAATATGTTGGTAACAAATGCCAGCAAGAATGAAGGACAAATATGTGTTTGCATGCAGCATAAAGACAGCAGAAAATCTAAACTTTTACTTGCGATGGCTATAAACATATAATTAGAAAAACTCTCCTTTTATTTTTACTCCCAAATGTTCCTCTTATGTAATCATCAATAACAATTTTTACTTTTCAAAAGCATATCATAGCTGTCAGTTCGAATCTCTCTTTGCTTTCACAAGTACTTCCCATTCTGTGATACATAGTTTAGGTCATGGGGGTACATTTTAAAATGGAACAGTTTGCTAACACCCAAGTTGCTTCAGCGTAACGGGAGGAGACTTAACACTATGCTGTGTCACAGTGAACTGCTGCGCATACATACTGTATTGCCCCGTGCTAGTCTGATATATGCTAGTTGGCACTGCCATGGTGGTGATGCCAGGGGGACTTCCTCCTTCCTCTGACTTCTCTTCTCCAATCTTGGGAACACCAGGCACATCAGAGGAAAGTTCATTCAGTATTCTTCTAAAATAGAATTTAACAATACAAGTAATTAAAGTATATGAAGGAGACTTAAAACAGAAAAAAGCTACACAGGCACAGCTGCTTTAATCTATATTTGTTCTACCTTTTGCAAAAAAAATGTCACTTGGCAGGAAATGTCATGAACTCACCTATAAGAGGGTCTTTGTGAAAGGATTTCTCTATGCTTATGAGAATCAATTACACCTTCAGAATCTGCAGACTCATCTGTCTCTGTAATTGTTGCTACCTGTAACACAAAAATGTTCTGAGATGCATCATAAAACACAGGCTCTTCCTCCTCCCTGAAAACGTGGTGGTTCAGCCCGGGGTGCGCATCCTGGCGCCCCAGCCGTGGCCCAGCCCTGCTCAGGACACAGTGACCCTGCCCGGCAGAAGCTCGTGGTCTGGCTCAGAGAGGAAGCACAACACAGACTCTGAAGGTGACAGAAGTAAAAGTGTGGTCAGGAATGGCAGAGACGGTAAGTACAATCAAAATGCCATGGAAAGCATGGTGCACTGTCAGGTGAGCCTTCACAGGAAAGGATGGAACTTAAGACACATTAAGACCCCAAATCCTAAACCTGGAGGCACCCTAATAAATCCAACAGAGTGAGCCAGTGACAGAGGCAGAAAAACTACCTGATTTCACTGCTCTCTTCAGGACACCGGGGCTGGCTCAAGCGGGGCTTCAAATCAGGCTTTCCACAGGCCCGGAGAAGAAAGAATACTTGAATAAACAAGTAGGTAAATTGGGCTGGTCAAAGTTTGGATTCACATCACAAGGAGTAGGTTAGGCTAGGTGGTAGTTGGTCTTAAAGGTGAAAATAAGGAATTTCTCCTTAAAAGATGTATCCAAGTTTTCAGCATAATTTCATTTTTCAAGTTAGGTAGTAATATAATAATTTGATTATTAAAGAAAGCCAGAAAACTAAAATAATGATCTGCAACATATGCTGTCAACATATTCAGCCACTTAATTGTGAGGGCCTTAGGGTAGCTGAGTTTATAAGCCTCACTTGACTTAATACTACAATTATATGAGAATTTGATTTTGGGCACAGTGAAGCATTTGTTAAAATATCCAGAATCCAAGCAAGAAGGCTGAGGCGGGAGTATTTCCAAGTTTGAGTCTATCCTGGGCAACTTAGCAAGATCCTGCCTCACAAAAATGAAAGGGGTGAGGGTGTAGCTCAGTTGAAGGCCTTGGGTTCAATGTCCAGCATCACATGCAAGAATATAGTTCCCTCAGTGGCCTGCATACATGACGACACACATCTGCTCACTGACACCCCACACTAAGCACACACATTCAATGAACAGAACCTACTGAAAAAATGTTGCATTAGACAGTCCTGTATCATTACTAAATGTTCATCACTTATACTGGGGTTTCACACAACATCATACAATCATCACACACGCTTACGGGAGGTAGCCTATTATTTTACCCGTTTTAGAAAAGTGGAAACTAAAGTTCATGACACTGTCCAACATGTAGAGATTCTATGAGAAGCTCCACTAGTATTTATCTCTACAAGACAAGTCATTCATTTAACAAAATTTAAAAAAAACAAGACTGGGGAATACATGACAATACTTTCTTCCAATTTCAGCCAGATTAAAACTAAGTAGAGGGCCGGGGATTTAGCTCAGTGGTTCCTCCACCTGCCTCGAAAGCACAAGGTCTCGAGTTCGATCCCCAGTACCAAAAAAAAAACTTATGTAGAAATAGCTCCGTCCCAATAAAAGCCCTAATACAAAGAAGAGCATGAAAAGACTTTATTGTCTCATCACTAGGGCCAGAAAGAGTTGAAAACTATTTAAATCAAGGATCACCATAGAAAAGACAGTGATGAGAAGTATTCCTACACTTCTGAGCAACAACGGTGAGTATTCTGAAGATAATCGAGCTTTTAAACCATATGGATTTATTACGTCAGGTCTCATGCTGCAGCCCTCGTGGTTGTGATAAACTACTCAAACATGAAGTAAAGGGCTTTCTGCACATTTTGTCATCGGTTAGGTTCAAAGAATTTCAATATTTAAAGTATAACAGCAAACTGACCTTAAAAAGGAACCAAAGTAAAGTCAGTAAAGAAGAAAAATGTGCTTTTAAAAATGTAAACTTAATAATTTACATCTGTTGATAAAAAATGTTTGCCTTCAACAAATGCGAAGGATTTCTCACAAACCTCGATAACGATAAGCAGTAACGTACATCTCTGGGTCGCAACCACAATAACAGCCACAGCCACAGGAGCCCAGGTTTAATCTGGGAGGAATACGTGGCATGGGGACACAACACTCATGGGACAGTAACACTGTGCTTCTTTCAGGCTGGGGCACAGCTCACTGGGACAGCACACGCTTGGTATGTGTGAGGTTCTGGGTTCAATCTCCAGAGACAAAATCAATAAATGCATGCACACAAACTGTCCAAGCCTTACAGACACTAAATTGAAAATAAATTTCCGTCAACCTCCTGAGTATTCATGAACACATACCAGAACTATAATCTTTATATTAGTGTACTGATAGATATCTCTTCCCCCAAACCCTCAACAAATTTTTAAGCACCACTTCGGAGCTTTTCTAAAAAGTAAATAAACAAATAAATTAGAGTTTGAACACAGAACCACTTGGAGAAGATCAACTGCTGCTCCAGCAGTTACTCATGATGCAAAATACAAGCTGATGAAGCTCCAACTCTTCAGCCACATCTATGGGCCTGACAAGGCACAATATAAAAAAAGAAATTCCTCCAAATATCTAATAAAAAACTTGTGGGCCAGGGATTTAGCTCAGCGGTTTCACTGCCTGCTGTGCAAGCGCAAGGAATTGAGTTTGATCCCCGGTACCAAAAACAAAAACCAAAAAAACTTGTGGGCCTGGGATGTAGCTCAGCAGCTCAGAGCCTGGTAAATACAAGGTTCTGAGTTCGATCCCCAGTACCAGGCACAAAAACAAAAAACAAACAAAACTTGTGTATAAAATCTACATAAGGATGATGATAAATGAATTAGTAAAAACAAAATTTAAAAGGCCCACGAGGTCAGGGATTTAGCTCAGTGGTTCTGCTGCCTGCCTCGCAAGCATAAGGTCCCAAGTTTGGTCCCCAGTACCCAAAAAATAAAAAAAATAAAAGGCCCATGAAAGTCAAAGACAAATCAGCCAGGAGGAAGCTGGTGGACAGTCTGAGTCTGGGGCCTGGGAGGGACAGCCGTGGTCTCAGTGACTCCTGGGCTTCACAGAGTGGCCTAAGGGTGCCACACTGGAGACACAGCTGGAAACGTCTTCCAGGGCCCTATCCAGCCACAGAAACCTGCAAAAACCATCACCACTGAGGACTAAAGTTGGACCTGCTTCTCACGTTTTGGTCTATTTTTTAAGAAGTGCAGCCGGGTGTAGTGGCACACGCCTGTAACCCCAGAACATAAGAGACTGAGGCAGGAAGATCTCTGCAAGTTCAAAGTCAGCCGGACCTACATAGTGAGTTCAAGGACAGGCTGAACTACATAGCGAGACTCTGTCAAAAAAAACACAAAAAACGATGTACAACTCACTGTTATGATTGGCCAACCTCTCTTCTGCTTCTAAGAGATGACAAGCGACCTGGGGCACGTACCATGCAGAGGGGGTCCCTGTCCTGGAACTATTATCCTCGGATGTGACAGATATGAAGGAACCCATGCCCCTCACTCATGGTGCCCATGCCTGGATGGATAGGAGTGTTTGGAGCACAGAGTTCTAAAGCAGTTAAACTACCTCACCGAGACTAACAGTGATGCCTCTTGGAGGCCAGAGTGTGATCGACCTCCTTAACTTTCCTGAGAAGCTGGAGACAGAATACAAATTGGTGAATTACGTTCATAGAGGACGATTCTAGCGCCCCTGCAGATGTACGCCGATGCCCTGGCTCAACACTCACAGAGAAACCCACACACACTCATGCCCCTAAACCCAGGCGGCACTGACCAGGGAAGGCCCGGCCTGTAGTCTGAGCCAGAGAAGCTCCCGTCTCGGAGCGGGGTGACCGCCGGGCCCTCCTCCTCTCCCCGGGACGGAGGCACCCAGGCAGGGCCCAGCACAGCACTCACTGTGGGCAGAGAGGAGTGAAGGCACCACCAGCTCCTCTGAGCCCTCCCGGCATGCGCCTGCAGCCCCTGCCAGACTCAAACCTGCCCAGTGTGCTCAGGAAGCAGTGCTGTCCTGTAAGCCAGGCTGACTTCAGAAAGTGCTTCATTTTGCTAGGATTCACCTTCATGACCTCCTCAAAACAGCCAAAGACCTTCGAAATGAAATAATCCATCAGTTTCTACCCTAAGCAGTTCTACAACCACAGATCCGCAGGAGGATCACCAGAGTCTGAGGCCGGCCTGGACTACATAGGAAGACCTTTGTCTCAAAAAACAAAACAAAGCAAAACAAAAACAACAACAAATAACTAAAACTTATTTACATCATCAGTCAAGCAAGCTTTTTCTGGAGGCCTAGAAGTTTAAAATCTCTTATCCATGCAAGAGAAAATATGTATTGAGCATTGCACTAGGTGCACAAAGGTAGACAGAAGAACTGACAAAACAAACTCCTGCAAAGCAAAAGTATACCAAGCACTATCAGTGATGGCGAACCTTTTAGAGACATGTGCCCAAGCTGCAACCCAAAACCCACTTATTTATCACAAAGTGCCAACACTGCAATTACACCGGAACACTGAGGTTTTAGAAAAACCTTATAGATTAAAAGAAAAACACAAGCCGGACATGGTGGCACATGCCTGTAATCCCAGCATTCGGGAGGCTGAGGCAAGAGGGTCGCTGTGAGTTCAAGGCCAGCCTGAACTACAGAGCAAGACCCTGTTTCCAAAAAAAAGGAAAAAAAGAAAAGAAAAACACAATAACAGAGCTTTCGGTGACACAAACAGCCCAATGCAGCACGTGTGCCAGAGGTTGCCACCACTGGTATAAGAGCTAAGCACTCCACTAACAGGCCGTGAATGTCAGGGGTAGAGAACAGAAAGCTGAAGACTCAGTGAAGGCTTCAGGAAGAAGCCAGAGCTTGAAACAGACTTGAACTCAGCCTAGATAACAGGAACAGTAAGTGACAACTGTTTTTTTTTTTTGGTACCAGGGATGGAACTTGGGTCCTTGCGCTTGTGCAGCAGGCGGCGAAACCACTGAGCTAAATCCCCGGGGTCAACTGTGAATAGAGTAACCAGTATGCAGCCCAGGAAGAGAATTCACCTTG